CCCAATCTCACCATTCCTCTTCAACTTTACCATCGATGACATTCTGGAAACAGCTCTGATGAATGTAAGTAATGGTGGTGTGGATCTGTTGCCTGGAGAAAGACTTCTCGACCTTGAGTATGCGGACGATATTGTCTTACTGTGCAATAATGCCCAAGGCATGCAATCCGCAATTAATCAGTTGGCAATCAGTGTCCGTAGGTATGGTATGTGCTTTGCACCTTCGAAGTGCAAAGTACTTCTACAAGACTGGCAGGATTTCAATCCTGTACTCACCCTGGATGGTGAGCAGATAGAAGTAGTCGAGAAGTTTGTGTATGAGTGCTGGTGGGGGTGTGAGTGATGAGATCAATGCACGTATAGTGAAAGCCAGAGCGGCTTATGCCAATCTGGGCCACCTTTGGCGCCTTCGTGATGTTAGTCTGGCTGTAAAAGGTCGGATCTACAACGCGTCGGTGAGAGCAGTTTTGCTCTATGCTTGTGAAACATGGCCTCTCCGAGTTGAGGACGTTAGACGACTCTCTGTGTTCGATTATCGCTGTTTCCGAAGGATTGCTGACATTCATTGGCAACACCATGTCAGTAATGCAGAGGTTCGGCATCGTGTGTTCGGGCACAGAGATGACAATTCAATTGGTGTCACCATCTTGAAACACCGACTTCGGTGGCTTGGACATGTTTTACGAATGTCGTCCCAGAGAATTCCATGTCGTGCATTATTTGCCGACTCTGGGACTGGTTGGAAGAAGCGGAGAGGTGGTCAGTGCATGACATGATGTCGTGGTATGAAAGAAAGCTACAAAGGACTGGCTTGTGTTGGTCCTTTACGACTCCCTGTCTGGGGTCCGAGAGATGGTGCTACACAGTGGCTAGAGACGTTATCAGATATGACTCAGAATAGAAGCCGGTGGCGATCCTGCTGTGACCTTCTTTTACTTTCTTCATAAAAAGTGGTTATGTCTCCCTTACCTAAAAGATCATTTTTTCCGATTGCACCTTTCCGTTCCCTCATTACTACCACACTACCTTACACCAATCTCTTCGTTATTGTTCTCATTTTTATGCGCTCCTTAGCTTTTCTTTCTGTTTCTCTTCAAATTCTCATTGTTTTGTGTGGCGCATATATATTGGCGCTCTCTTGTACCAATACTCATGTGTTCAAATAAAATAAAAATAAAAATCCTCAAAATCCCTATTGATATTAAAGGATATATATTTAATATAAATAAAATATTTCCCTAGTCTATAATCTTATACATAAGACAAAGTTATAATATAAATATTGTTCATGTAAACAAAATATAATAATAAATAAGAGATTATTATTATTATTACTATAATCCCTATGAATGGGAACCACACCTTAATAACTAATAATAAGATTTATAGGTATATGAAAAATAATGATTCAATTTCTATTCTATCTACTTATATTAAGGTATTGAAATGAATATCTAATCTAGTTACGTTTTACTTTTTATGTATCTTTTTTTTTTAATATTTTTTTTCATATTTTGTTTCCTGTAAACAATAATTAAAATCAACCTCTTGATCAGATTTTCTTCTTTTTTTTGTTTTTTTTTCTGTTTTTTCTTCTTCTTTTGAATGAATCGATTAAGGTAAGACAGTAATAAAAAAAATTTATGTCCGTTTTGGAATTAATTCGATCAACGAATTTAATTTATTGGTTCAAAAACACTTAATTTTTGTTTTGGGTAAACATTGTTTGTTTGTTTACATTATAGACAAATAGAAAGTGAATATTCTGAAGAAGTTCCTATTGAATGAATTACAATTAATATATATCTCAGTGATTAAATATGATTAGAAACTTTAGAGATGTAAAATGGTTATTTCTTCTGTAAAACCAAATCTTCTTTTTTGTCATGATCTTAATTTATTTCAAATGAGTTTAGTAATTAGTTATAGAGAAGGGAAATAGTTGTAGATAAGTTAACATAAGAAGAGTTTTGAAGAGTTCCACAATAGGATGAAACGTCTGTTCAGTGCTTTCAAGTTTTATATAATGGTTTCGCTTCAATTGACTGATGATCCCAACTATTAAAATTACTATAATATTCATTAAATAACCCCTTTTGATATTAATCAGCATATGATCATTGGTGACTAGCTTTATGAGGTATATCCATGAGTTTTAGTGAAAAGCAGTGACCAGTGGAGTTCAATCGGGTCTGTTGTGAGATAATAACTCACTGAAGACAATGGTGGATGTGTTTCTCAATTTCGTGGATTAGTTGAAGTTAGAGATTAACACTGTTGGATGAAGATCGGATCAGTGGTCTAGGTATTAGTCGTTTACGTGCGAGGCCGATAGGTCCTGGGTTGGAATCTTGTGAAGTGGGATCGTGGATGCGCATTGTTGATGATTTCTACAGTAGAACGAAACGTCATTCCAGTGCTTTCAGGTTTTCCATGGTGATTTTGCTTTAATTGACTCAAGATCTCAACTATTAAAATTTTTCAGAAGTTTTTGTGAAGAATTTAGCAATTTAACAATTGAATTCTATTAGTCAATTAAACTAGATCAACATGGAAAACCTAGAAGCATGAGACTGTCGTTTCGTCCTAGTAAGGAAACTCTTCAGGAGCTCTAATTGACTCATGAAATCAGCTATTTTTTAAAAATTAGTTCTATAAAAAATTTTAATGATCACCTATTCAGTAATAACACCTTAAACGTTGGTCAATTTTTCTAAGAAGGTCTATTTTTATATCTTATGGTATGAGTATTCGACCACAGTAACTGAGTTATAATACAGTGGTATTAGTTCAAGATAAATATATGACAGAAATTAATTTACAGTTGATTGATTACTGATTATTAACCAGTGTCATGTATCTCAATTCCTTCTTAATAATGACTAAACTCATGGTCAACTTGCAATGTGGAAACAAATCTATGTGACTTTATATCACGGGTACTATGTTGATTGTAAGCTGATGCTTTGAAAAAGCATCAACTCCGTGAAGATTAAAATCTCACCTTGCTGTGGAATGCCAAATAGCATGGAAAGTAAGTCAAGCAGGGTATCCTGTAGATCGTCTTCAATCACCACCTTATGTATGATAAAGTTAACTTATTCAAGTCAAAAATCTATCCAGTTTAGACCATCATTGAAAATCTGGATGCACTGAACGACCGTTCCATCCTATTTGGTACTCTTCATCAGTACGTATTCAATATTCTGCACGTTGTAACCCGACCTAGAATCTTCCATTCTGCGCCCAAAACATTATCCCCTAGACCACTGAGCCAGTTTAACTTAGATTGGTTCATGGTTTCAATGAAATTCAATAATCTTCACGACCTCATACTGAAAAGTGATTTACTCAAATACGCCTAAACATTTTCTTCAAAAAATAAGAAATCTTCATGACTTATTTTATTCGGTCAAAATAAATATTCACACACACTATAATCAGAAAGGGGTTTTGTGGATATTATAGTAATTTAATCGTTGAATTCATGAGTCAATTAAGGCTAAACCACTACTGAAAACCTAAAATCATAGGATGGCCGTTTCCTACTAGTATGGAGCTCCTCAACAATGCTCATCCATGATAAATTAATTGATTGATTATTTGAGTTTCCCATCTATTTTGCAATGAACTCATTATAATTCTAATAAATAAACTTTAAAATAAGAACAATCATAATCACATGTTCAGTACTGATTTTATATCTAACTATAAAACTTTCATTTGAATGTATACTTTTGATAAAAATCTGATCCAAAGCAATTCTTTTCCATGATCTATATGTATGATTGTTAATATTAAGCATATTTCAAAAGTTTCATAGTAAAATTAAATATGTCAAAACTTTGGTATGTACTATTGTTAGTTTTCAGTTAGATATAATCTGAATATTTCCAGAACACAATAAGATCTGTTGAGTAAAATTAAAGATTTTGATCAATATATCATTGAAAGGCAAAAGAGAATGATATGGAGTAAAGCAACCAAATTTAAGATCAGATAGTCCTTTGATATATATATATATATATATATATATATATATATATATATATATATATATATATATATATATATATATATAGAGAGAGAGAGAGAGAGAGAGAGAGATCACAAATGTAAAATACTTATGAATTGGAACTTCTAAATTGTAGAATTTAAGTTCGAATACACAGTATTAAATAATAATGATTTTAGTAAATTGGTTAAACATACAATGGGATAAACTTTAATTGTTCTATAGATTTTTAGAAAGTTCTATAGTAACTTTGATATTAATATATTAGTTGTTGGATGGAAACAATCATTTATTTCATAATTTATTCAAAAGTATGACAATAGGAAGATACAAGTAAAACAAGTAAATTTCAACTTCACCTTATTGCACAAGCTAATGGCTGTCAGAACTCAGCAGCTAAGTGGATAACGTGATGGCGTTTGGAGCTAACAGTACTGGGTTCGAGTCCCGGGGTGAACATTAACTCTGCAATGCAGACACATCCAACTGACGAGTCTTAAATAGGAAGAAACGCGCGTCAAACTAGATTCCACTTCTATCCAGTATCCATCTTTGTTTAAAATGCTTGTGATTTAAGGCTATATCGAGGCAATCCGTATAGGATGCACATATGATAACATGAAACTGATCGATGGCAGTTCTAAATAACCATGGGAAGATACAAGTAAAATTACACCAAGTGAATTTATGCGAAAGTAATTGCTAATTTAATGAGTTACATTAAGATTCATCAATGTGAAGCACAAACATTGTAACAAATAGGCACAGTTTTATTGATAATTTTCAGTTTTGAAACGTAGGTTCATTTTTCTAAGGTACTTATAAGTTATATGCAATATTTTATTACTTTTGTTAAGTGCTTAACTTCATTTAATGTAAACATAGAAATTTTATACAAAAACTCAATTTTTTCAAAACCCACAAGGTACATTAATATTCAGTTATGACATTTAACATGATACTTATTATATTTGTGTAAGCCTACCTGCATTAATGCTGCGATATCTTCTCTAGCAGTAAGTAATTCTTCTAAATTTACTGTACCTAGTACATTAAGTAAAGTGGTTTGTCCCAAAACTCTGGTTGCTCGATTAGCGTCTTCAACATTAACTACAGCACGTACAGGGTCTCTTACACGATAATATACAACTGCATTAACTACAACTGTGACAGAATCCTTTGTAAGTACTTCTTGTGTAGGTACATCAAATGTAAAAGTACGTAAATCCAAAACACGGTAACGATCCAAACAGGGAAGAACAAATATTAAGCCTGGGCCTTTAGCAGTTGCAGAAACCAGTCTTCCAAGGCGAAATAGTACTGCTCGTTCATAGTGTGTTACAACCTACAATAAAAAGGTAAAAAATCAGTAATATTAACTAATAAAATCAATGGAATAATTATGCAACTAAAAAAATTACCTGAAGGGGTTTTGTGGAGATCTTAGAAATTTCACTGATTGAAATCATGAGTCAATTGAAGCTAGGCCACCATGAAAAACTCGGAAGCACTGGACGGCCGTTTCGTCCTAGTACAGGACTCCTCAGCAGTGCGCGTCCCCGATCCCGCACCCCGCGAGATTTCAACCCTGGACCTATCGGTCTCGCGTCAGGCGCTTAACCGTCAGACTACTGAGCCGACATCCAGAGGTGTTAATGTCTAACTTTAACCAATCCACAAAGTTGCGCTACCATATACCATTGTCTTCAGTGAGTTAATATCTCACAACAGACCTGGTTGAACTCCACTGGTAACGGCTTCTCACTAGAACTGCAGGAGTATCTCTTGAAGTCAGTCACTAGTGAGCAGGTGATTATTATCAGAAGGGGTTTGTGGAGATTTTAGAAATTTCACAGAATGAAATCATGAGTCAGCTGAAGCTTTTCCATGGTGGTCTAGCTTCAATTGACTCATGATTTCAATCAGTAAAAAAAATCGTAAAATAAAACTACGTTTCAATTTGGATGAAAGCATATAAATCGTTTTCAGTTGATATTAACTAATAATAAATATTTGGGTTGAAATTTTCAATTCACAGGAAGGATCTCAATCGTCTGTAGTCTAGTAGAGATTATAGTATGTTTATTTATTTATTTGAACACATAAATATTGGTACAAGGGGCCACCAGATATATATATGCCACACAATAACAATGAGAATGGGAAGAGAAAAAAAATGTAAGGTGCTTATAAGAGAGAAGAAAAAAAACAATATCGACTACAGATTAGTGTGTGGTAGAGTAATAATAATAATAATAATGGGGTAAACGGAAAAGTACAACCGAAAGAATTCTTTCAGTTAAGGAAGATACAACCACTTTTTTATGAAGAAAGTAAAAGAAGGTTACAGCAGAATCGCCACTGGTTTCTATTCTGAGTCATATTTGATAAAGTCTCTAGCCACTGTGTTGCACTATCTCTCGGACCCCAGAGAGAGAGTCGTGAAGGACCAACAGAAGCCAGCCCTTTGCAGATTTCTTTCATGCCATGACACCATGCCATACAAGGACCACCTCTCCGCTTTTTTAAACTAGTCCCAGAGTCGGCAAATAATGTACGACGTGGAATTCTCTGGAACGACATTCGTAGAACATGTTCAAGCTACCGAAGTCGATGTTTCATGATGGTGACACGAACTGGATCGTAGTATATAGAAGAATAGTTTGGAAGATCATTTTCCATTAGTATTAACATAAAATATAAATTTAGTCTCACTTTGTAACTGAATATTACCCGTCATTAAAATATGTTTCTACTTTGTAAATCCATTATGTCTAGACTACATAAAATATTCTATAAACAATCTTTACTGGGATAATATGAAATTGAATTCTTACTCTGAATATAAGGGAATTGTAGAGATAAAAATTTTAAGGTTTGAATGCCTCAAAGATTTTAGTTAGATCACTAATGAAAACCTGAAAGCACTGAATGATGGTTTCATCGTACCGTTGAACTCTTTAACAGTGCTCATCCGTAACCCTACGCCTGGTGTCGAATCCAGGACCTTCGGCTCGGCGTATTAATGTTTAACCTCTATACTGTTGAGTCGAGATCAAGTGTTGTACACGTATAAATTGAATTCACGATATTGATAAATCTTCAGCTATTGCTTGTAAGAGATAAGTGTTTCACATACAACACAAAATGAACTCTGTTGATCACAGCTTCTTAGGTTTCCAATAATGATCTAACTGAGATCAACCGAGGATATATACTACTTATATCTATCGACATCAGTAGCGTACAGTACATTATCATCAGAACAGCAACTCGGATATTTTTTATGCATTGAATTCCAATAAATGGGTCTCATATTATAAATTGTATTTCTAAAATGATTTTCGAACTCATTGAAAAGAATTTTACTAATCCCTTGATGAGGTATACAAGTCATGATAAAATCTTATGAATCGTAGTGTGTTTTTCTACTTAACTTCTAGAAGAACTAGGCAGAAATTAAAAATTTTATTTGATTGAATATAATTTTTTATATAATGATTTGAAAATGTATAAATGTCATAACGGCAAACTTAGGATTCGTCATCCAACATTTATGACCTGAAAGAGTAAGATGGCCGTTTAGTTCTAGTATGGAACTCCTCATCAGTGAGCACCCACGATTCCGTACATCAGACTCGGACTTAGGACCTTCAGTTTCGCGCGCGAACGCTTAACCTATAGGTCACCGAGTTGGCACCTTAAGGTGTTAACGTCTAACTTTAAACAATCCGTGGAATTGCGCGACCGTCTTTCATTTTCCTCGGCTGGTCACTGCCGGATCAATGGTTAGGCCTACGCACACGAGAGCGAAGGTCCTGAGTTCAAGTCTCGTGTGAGGATTGTGGGTACGCACAGCTGGGGAGTCTTATTTTAAGACGAAACAGCCGTTCACTGCTTCCAGGTTATGAATGGTGATCTAAAATTGATCGATTCATAATCTCAAAAGTTGTGATGAAAAATTTATGTTTAATGTGGGTATATGATTCTACAGTTAATTTCGTTAGTAAAACCTTTTTATAAATAAACTTCATCATGCATACTATTCTTTATTACTTAAGATATGAATGTTTATTGATCTCAGAAATGTTTGATAACCAGAATCTGTCTAGACCGATTGATTTTTTACGCCGTGATTTTGGCATTAATTCTTGTTTTCGGTCTTGCATTATTGTTCAGAGTCGGTAGTCTAGCCACTTAGTTACACTGATCCTAGTGAAGTTAACATTATTTATGAGGTTGGTATGTCTTCACTTTTAATGGATTTGCTTGTTCCAAGAATAGTGGAACTTTTGGAACTAATGGGAATCATGTCACAGAAAAGTCAACTGGTTGGTTATAACATAAAATATTTAAAAATTAGGAGAGAGCGAAATAAAGGGAGAGTATGGATACTGGGCAAACAAACAAATTAATTTAATCAATTGATTAATTAAGCAAATAAGTAGCTGATGGATGTACTGTAACAAAAAATAGACTCAGATTGTAAGACATAAAGTATGATAGATGAAGTTACTGATATTGAAAACAATAGTAATGGTTAAGATTAAACATGACAGAACCATTGGATGTATATCGACTTAGTCAGTTGTTATTTACAATTTAATAAAAACGATCACAGATCATAATTACATTCATCATTGTCAAGATTTGGACGAAACAGTCATCCAGTGCTTCAAGGTTTTCCATGGGTGGTCTAGCTTTAATTAACTCATGAATTTAACTAATAAATTACCAATATCTCCACAAAACCCCCCTTTTGATATGTAATTTTCATTTGCTAAAATCATTTAAGAAAATATCATTAAGTATACATTCTTGAACTAGGATTTCTCTCCCCATATTTTATTGTTTATTGTTGAATATTGTTATTATTATTACTTTTCTATCAGATAGGATTTTACACTTGCAATAAATGTATTATCTATAAGTGTTACATAATTAATTATCATATCAATATAATCAATCATTGTTTATTAACTTAACCGTTACATTTGTAGTGAACGAGAACACAAGTAGGAATAATCGAAATGTATTTGAATATATGATTACAGAATCTCTTAGTAAAATCTGAGAACCATACAGTAAATTCTTCATTTGTAAAGTATCAATCAATCGTCTCAAACTTCACTGTTTCTTCATTTCCACATCAATCATTCTCTGTTCTCGTTCTCTTTTCTTTGATCTTCTTAATCTTTTGTTACAAGGTATTTCACTTTCAATTGATGGAACATACTACTTATATCTGTCGACATCAGTAGCACACACCACAGTCTTCATTTAATAACTGTAAATAGGTTGAAGAGTTGACATCATTCGATTAGAAAACGTAAAATTCGACCCATTTCAGTTTAATTTTATACTTTAAACAAAACTTCTACTGTTTAATAAGAGATACGTTAGTTAACCTGTCGACATCAACAGCACACACTATTTATTGTTTAACTAAGCTAAAAGAAAACTACGTTAAACACTATTTTTTCGACTGATAATTATATTTACAAACATTATAAATTAGTGACGTATTTTGGCATTCAACAAATTTACAAGGAACGAATTAATTTGTACTTTAAACAGCATGATTATAAAGTGATTCTGACAGATGAATTTATGAGTCGATCTATCCTAGACCACCAGGTTTTCAATGGTGGTCTAGGTTAGATCGACTCATGAATTCAAATGTGAAAATACTGAAATTTCCCACAATCCCTATTCTGACAATAATCATGTACTCACTAGTGACTAGTTTCAAGATGGATTTGTTAGAATTCTAGTTAGAAATTTTGACCAGTAGAGTTCAATCTATGTCGAATAGAGACAGTTATCTACTTCAAATGATAGATGAATGGTTGCGCAAGATCATGGATCTATTGAAATCAAACATTACCATCGTTGAGTGCCCACTCAGTGATCTAGAGGTTAAGCTTTTGTGCACGAGACCAAAGGACTTGGATTTGAGTAATTAATAGATATGGACATTTATGAAAATATATGTTTAAAAGTATATCGTAAACAAACTTTATTGGAAGAAGGCTAAAAGAACAATATCAATTATTAATCAATTTGTGTCTTTCGATGCGTACTTTATAGAAAAAAAATTCAAGAACATTGCCCAGCTTGGACTAAGTGAGCCGGGAATGGCTCATTAAGAAGCTCTATAATCGGACACATCGTGAACGCAGGTCAATCAATCAAAGCAGACTCTGTGTTCAAAGTCACCTACAAGATAAAAAGAAGTCTTCCAAAGGCAATTATATTGCATATTCTTAGCATTCCCAAAACAATAGCCATACATCTGGGAAAACCAAAATTGTGTCCATTTTTTCTACCATAAAAGCTTGTGAA